AAGGAATCTGTAGTGGGCTTGTATGGAACCACAGAGGGAGAGAGGGGCTTACTGGGGCATGAGGTGCCTCCAGGTTCTTGTTGACAGAGCTAAAGAGATGTAATCTAGAGAAAGCTGGCAGGGCTGAGAGAAGAGAATGTTAGTTGGCAAAGCTAAGAAAAAGGTCATCAGCTGGCATGCTGAGAATAAAGGACCTTCCTGTGGGCACAACCAAGAGGGAGCTGTGAACCATCTTTGTTGCAAGTTATCCAGATTCATGAACTGCATCTGGTCTCCTAAATTGTAACTGTTACTTCTTTAATAAACCATAGAATCCTGAGAATGATTTGTGAGTTATGTGTGGCAATCACAATGCATTCTCAAACCCAGCAGTGAAATACAGACTAGGAGGGTGGTTGGTGTCAGTAAGGGTAAATAAAGTTGAAGAGTGGAGGGGTGTCTGACCCACACAGCTCATAGGAACTAGCTTTGAACTGACCCTGAGTCTTAGTCCTCCCTGAAGATGTATTCCAAGTCTGATGTTAGTATATTACATTCTCTGGTAGCATAGTGGTTACAAATCGGGCTGCTAATCTGAAGGTCAGCAGTTCGAAACGACCAGTTTTTCTGCGAGAGAGATTTATAGCCTCGGAAATCCTGTACAGGGTCACTAGGAGTTGGAACTGACTCCACGGCAGATAACAACAACAAAGAGTCCTGGTGTGGCATTGTGGGATAAAACACTGGATCACCAAGAGCCATTTGAACCACAAGGTCGGCGGTTCAAACTCACCAGCCGCTCCTCGGAAACCCTACTTCATGAGAAATCCACTTCATGGGAGAAATATAAACTGTCTGCTCCGAGAAACCCTAGGAAAGCAATTCTACTCTGTCCCTTAGGGTCATTAGTGAGTTGGGACAGACTTCCCCAGGTAAATGCTTGGGACTGTCAGGGAGTCAGTCATAGGGACCAAGTACTTTCCATCTTTCAGGCTTAGCTGTTCTGTAGAATTATTTTGAAGCAAATCCTACTCATCGTTGTGTTTCAGATTATAACTATTTTTATAATTGTTCAGAAAATGGACTCCAGAGCTAGACTGCTTAAGTTCGATCTAGGCTCTCGCTACTTACCAGCTGTGTGACCTTGAGTAAGCTGCCTTCCTTCTCTGTGCTTCAAGTGAGGAGAATAGCAATGATAAATGTAAGACATTCAGCACAGGGTCTGGCACATAGGGAATGCCACTTACATACTAGCTGTGATAATGACAAGGACCTCTCAGCCTGCAGACCCGATGGCAAGGAGTGCTCACTGATGACTGTATGAACGCTGGCCATTAGGGGGCACAACTGGTTTGGGACGCACTGGCATACAACGACCATGAGGAGGCGCGAGCACAATGACCTCCTGGACCTCTTCTCTTTAAACATTCCAGAGGAGAACGTGTCAGTCCTGGCTAGTGGGGAAGGGCACCCGCGTTGGGGCTGGAGATTAGCGCAGGGTACACAGGAACAATGAGTACCAAGATTCATCGGGGAAAGAGGAGATATGGGGGCGTGGGGGGGAGGGGGAGTTTCAGAAAACAGCTCTCACTCCACCCCCAAAATGCTGAAATTCCATCCTAAAGTTTTCCAGCACTGTTGGCCACCTTCCTAGACCTTCTCTCCGTCTGGATCAGGTGCCCCCTCTGGGCACATGTAGCTTCTGAGCTTCTCAATTCCCTTTCCTGAGGGCTTTGCCCATGCCACCCCCATCCTGCCCAGACCCCTCTGCGTCTGCCTCCCCAGTCCCTGGTGACCCCTTCACAGCACAGGATGTCACTGTCTGACTATGTTTCTGAATTCCCACTAAAGCCTCATAAAACCAGGAGCCAAGGACAAAAATGTCACCAGTACTGAACAAGCGCCTGGCATAATAAATAAAAAGAAAAAATGCCAAAAACACACTTCATAGATAACTTGTACTTGGCTTTATCTCTGGGCTTTTGCAAGTGCTAATCCTTCTGCTAGCTTAGTGGTTAGGAATCGGGCTGCGAACCTCAAGGTCAGCAGTTCGAAACTACCAGCTGTTCCACGGGAGAAAGATGAGACTTTCTGCTCCCGTAAAGATGTACAGCTTCGGAAACCCTGTGCAGGGTCGCTATGAGTAGGACTCCACCGCACATAACCACCCCCACCAATCCTTCCAATGGAAATACTCTGTCCACTGACAGCCTGAGTCCGACTCATTTCCCTACATCTTTCGCATTTCAGTTTAGCTAGCTTCTCCAGGAAGACCTTCCCAACTCCCACCTTTAAGTCTGGGCTAACACAGCTTACTACAAATCAGGTATTAGAGAAAATGTTTAATGAATAAGGGGGATAGTATTTGGGCAAGGTTCCCTGTATCCGCTGAAAAATCACTTCTGAACCCTCTCTGTGGAAGTCTGAACTCGAGGCCTAACACCCCCTCCCCTTAGGGTCCTATGCTGAATGTTTCTTTCTGCCCTGCCAAAGGGGATGCAGGCTGGGAGAGACCAAGACCTGCCTTCATTGTCAGCATTTCCTGGGAGATCCTGGGATTATGATAATGCTTACTGAGCACTTGCTATGTGGTAGGTGTATGCAGTTCTACACTTTTGACATCAATTCATTTAATCCTCCAAAAATCCCTGCACTTGGGAATGTGACCCTTCCTGAAACTCTGGGGGTGGGGGGGTCAGTTCTAGAAGGACCCCTCATGCCCCACTTATGCAAACTTGAACTATACTTGAAAGTTAAAACTGGCGGTTCTTGGGCCAGATACCATGGCCCACCACCACACACATAAACTTGTTGTTTTTCAGTCAATTCTAACCCCAGGTAACCTCATGTATTACATACAGCATAGAATTGCACCATACGATTGTTTGGGCTGTGGTCTTTACAGAAGAGCATTGCCAGACTCTTCTTCCACAGTGCTGCTAGGTGAGTTCGAACCACTAACCTTTAGGTGAGTAATGGAGTGCAAGGCATTTGCACAACTCAGGGACCTGCTATGACCCTCAGGGTGGTTTAAAAACACATATTAATTATTACTATTTAAAATGGAAATTCCTCTCCCTGTCCCATCCCAATCCTTAGGCAGAAAGTCGCTTCACCTTTGTGCTTTGATTTTCGTATCCTGCCTCTGTTTCCCTCTCGCATCACTCACCTGGCCCGGCAGCATTGGTAGATGAAGAATGACTGCCGCCAACTTTTGTTTGCATTTTGTCCATTTCCATGAGCACCTTGGAGTCCTGGTGTTAATGCACCAGACTCTAAAGCCGATTGAACTGTAAGGTCTGCAGTTTAAGCTCACCAGCTACTCCTTGGAAACCCTATACAGGGTTGCTATGGGTCGGAATTGACTTGAAGATGCTTTACAACAATATGGGCCCCTTACCTCCTGGCTCACCCCTTGTATCCTGAAGTTATGGGGTGGAGGGAGAGGGTTTGGTGGAATCTGGACTCCCTGTACAGCCAGGATACTAGGTGGGGGGTGTTCATTTATCACACACACTCCTTCCTGTCTCCATATGAGTCCTTGTATAGGCCACCCATCGGGACTACTTCCCCCCTACTCTGTCTGCAGCCCAATCTCAGCTAGAGAGCCAGATCTGGGTTCACCCCTCCAGGGACTCCTGTTCCTATCCCCTCCCCTCTGCCCTGCTTTTGGGGGCAGTGCTGCACAAGACCTTTTTTAGAGTGTTGAAGAGCAAAGATGTCAGCTTGAGGACTAAGGTGTACCTGACCCAAGCCATGGTATTTTCAAAAACCTCATATGCATGCAAAAGCTGGACAGTGAATAAGGAAGACTGTAGGAGAATTGATGCTTTTGAGTTATGGTGTTGGAGGAGAATATTCAAAGTGCCATGGGCTGCCGAAAGAACCAAGAGATCCATTTTGGAAGAAGTGCAGCCAGAGTGCTCCTTGGAGGCCAGGATGGCCAAACTTTGTCTCTCATACTTTGGACATATTGTCAGGAGGAACCAGTCGCTGGAGAAGGATATCATGTTTGGTAAGGTGGAGGGTCAGAGAAAAAGAGGAAGAACCCCAATGAGATGGATTGGCCAAGTGGCAGCATCGATGGACTCAAGCGTGACACAGTAGTGAGGTTGGCCCATGATCGGGCAGTGTTTCGTTCTGCTGTGCATAAGGTCACTATGGGTCAGTATCGACTCGATGGCACCTAACAACAACAACAACAAGGGGAAATGTGGGGTCCCCTTCAGGTGGGTGGTGCAGTTAACATGCTTGGCTGCTAACTAAGAAGTTGGAGTTTCTAGTCCTCCAAGAGGTGCCTTGGAACAAAGTCCTGGTGATTTACTTTCAAAAACTCAACCCGCGAAAGCTCTATGGGTCACAGTTCTCTGAAACACAGGGGATTGACATAAATCTTAATCTGCTTGGTAGCAACTGGTTCTTTTTCCAGTTGAGAAAGGAAGGGCACCTCTGAGCAAGGTCTGAGGCGGCCCCATTTCATCTCTCCCTGGGCACTACAAGAAGACAAGGCTACTGGAGGAAGTACTGGGTGGGCCGGTAATAGTAAAGGCCCAGTGGCAAGATGTCTCACAAGATTAATGATGAAACAGCCAAGGAAAGAGAGAGAGAAAAAAAAGAAAAAGGCAGAAACAGAGACACAAAGAGACAGGAGATTAAGAGACAATAATGACTGACGTCTGAAAAGAGAGGGACTCAAAGAAACTCAAGTCAGCCTTCGAAACGGACAAATAGAGGCAAAAAAGTACAAAATAGGTGTTTTATTTACTGGAAGTTTTATATAAAAAGTAAAAGGTATGTGAAGGGAACTGTGGGTTGGGCGTGGGCCGGGCGGGCAGCGTCGGTGGTGTCAGGGGCTAGGGGTGGTTGGGAGCAGTGAGAGGCGTCCCTCCTTCCAACGGTCTGTCAATCTCTCTCCGTTGGCGCTGGTGTCCCTGTGCGCATGCGCGCAAGCGTACTGGAGTATGTGTATGGTTGGGACCTCAGTGAATAGGTACCGGATGAGCGGTCCTGGGTGCTGGGCCTCAAGCCCGGGGCCGGGCGGGTGCGCAATGGTGCGGCTGGTGAGAGGGTGTGAATCCTGGGCGGCAGAGGCAGCGGAAAGAGCCCTCGGTATTGATGCAGCGCGCATTGACACAGGGAGAGGCGGCTTCTTCGGTCTCAAGACACTCATTGATATCTGGTAAGGGGCACAAAGGGCGCTATTCAGGCCTGGGACCTGGAGTATAGATGCTGAACATCCCGTGCGTGGAATCTGGCCTAGCTGACTCACTTGGGGTCCTTAATTGTAATCACTCTGCTTTATTGCTGTTGAAAATAGGCAGACATGATTCTTATTCCCATTTAACAGACAGGAAGCCTGAGGCTCTCCAAAGATGCAGAACAAATTGCCCAAGATAGCACTAAAAGTCCTGGGAAATCATATTTGCAGAATTAGTTTTAATGTGGCGCCATAGGGTAAACACTAGACTGCTAACCACAAGGTCCGTGGCTCAAACCCACCAGTCCCTCCTCAGAAACCCTGTACAATGTTGCTGGGAGTTGGAACAACTCTATGGCACTAGAAACAACACCTTGTTTCCAAAGGAGACTTTCAAACCTACCAGTCAGTCTGTGGGAGGAAGGTGAGGCTGTCTGCTCCCCCAAAGATTTCTCTCTCAGAAGCCCTAAGGAACAATTCTACTCTGTACTGTGGGGTCACTGAGAGCAGAGAGTCAACTCGATTGCAGGGGATTTTCGATTTCAGGGTCCAATCTTTGGCCAAGCTTTATCTTCTGTGCACTGAATTAAGCCCCATCCCCCCTGCCTGGACGCACCCATTAGTGGGGTTCTTTCAGGAAGTCCCAGTACAGCCGCTTCTGGCCCAGCCCCGCAGCCCCACCTCTCTGTACAGGACTGTGTTTGCTGACCCCAGGCCCGCACTCACCGACACAAGACATGCGAGTCATGTCCAGGCGATAGCCGTCGAAGCAATCGCAAGTGAAGCCTTCTGGGACGCGAACGCATCGGCCGTGTGCGCAGCCATCCAAGATCCCGCATTCCTCGGCTTCTAGACCCTCATAGGGTTCAGTCAAGGCGCCTGTGGAGAACGCAGGGCCTGGGGCGCAGGGTCTCCACCCTCTTGCCCCTATCCGCCCCAGAGTGGGGCTCCCTGGCTGTCTCATTAAACTGTCCATCTTGCCCCAGGGTTGTGGGGACAGGATGAAACTTTTCTCGCTCTCTGTAGTTTATTTCCTATCTCTATCCTTTTCCCCTTGTTGCTAGGTGGACTCTCCATCTCTCAGTTCGCTTCCATTTTCTCTGTTTCTTCTTTCTCTGTCCCCAACCTATTTCCTTTATCCTCAGTTCTCTTTCTCTTTGTATGCCCTCAACATCTCCCCCCATTTCTCCGCCTTTACATCTTAGCACTCGATCTCCGTGACTGCCTCTCTTCCCACATATGAGATGGCTTCAAACATAGAAAAATGGAATGAAAATATAATGGAATTTATCCATAAACTTTTTGAAGCCCCCTTGTATGTATCTTCCTATCTCTGTCCTAAATCTCTCCCTGTCTGTCCTCTTGGTTTTTCCATCAGGGTCCCCATCTCTTTCTTGGTCCGTCTCTACAGATATTTTTCTACTCCTCATCTTCTGCTTTCCACCCCCACCTCTGTTTCCTAATTCTCAGACCCTCTTCCTCCTGGCTTCTCTCTCCCTCCCTTTCACCTACTCTTGTCTCTCTGCACACCTCCCTCCTCTCAACCTGTCCACAGTACGCACCAGTATAGCGGCCGCCTTCAGGCAACTCCTCTGGATCCGGGAAGGAGCCACGGGTATCGCGAGACCGATAGCGCCACCTGCTGCTGGGGCCGGGAGGGGCAGGAACCTCTGATTCCTCATAGGGACCACCATCATCTTCAAAGTCCGGCATGTCAAAGGGGGGTGCCCCATAGGGAGCCTCCCGTCGTGCGAAGGGTCCAGGTGGCAGTGGGTAGGGGTCGTAGGGTAGCACGGGTGGTGGGTACAACTCAGGCCCATATGGAAGGCCCTGGTAAGGCAGACCTAGGTCTGGGCCATACTCATAAGGCAGTCCAAAGCCACCTGGCCGCGGGGGGCCATATGCAGGGGGTCGCAGCACATTGCACAAGGCCTCGAAGTCATCTGTGAGAGGGAGCCAAGCCAAGACAATGAGCCACACTCGCTAAGACATCCATCAGAAGAGAGGCTGGGGGAAGGCTTTGGGATGAGGCATGGGGACACCAGGTGCTTGAAAGGATGGGCCAAGGATTGAAGGAGGGCCCGGATTAGGGGTTTCTAGAGCCAGGACTGGAGATCTGAGGGCTGGGCCTGAGATTATACTAGGATTTGATGGACCCCGAGTAACTAGGACTAGGAGCCTGAAGAAATGGAATGGCGTGTTTCATGGACTAGGGAATCCCAGTAGGTGTTATTAGGGGCCTGGGAGGCCAATACAGGGAGAAGAGGACCTGAGTGAGCAATTGGGATTTAGAAATCTAAAAACCCAGGATTAGCATGTTTGGGGTTGGGGCTGGGTTCCCAAGGGCTAAGGATTAGGGTCTCTAGAGGCAGAATTCAGGGATTTAAGGGCCAAGACTAGGGGTCTGTGGGGCTATAAATTGGGTCATGGGTACCTGCATGTGAGTGTCCACACAGGGCTGGGACTTGGAGGTCTGTGATCTCTGGGGCAATAACCAGGGAGATTTGAGACTAGGTCGACAGGGCCTGAGTAACTGGTATTTAAGGTCTCAACGTCCAGGATTGGGGGAGGGGGCCTCATGGGCTGTCTTGGGGTTTTATAAACCAGGAGTTGAGGGTCTGAGAGCCCACATCATGAGTGCTTGTGGGGCTAGAACTATGGGGTCTGCTGAACTAAGCCATAGGTTTGTGATTGAGACTTGGAGGCCTTTGGGAAATGCCTTTGAGGTCTAAAAGGCCAAGATTTAGGATGGTCTTAAACATAGAGGTCTGAGAGGCCAAGCTTGAGGGAGGCTGAGGGTTCTTATGACGCCACCCAGGGGCAGAGCTTCTGTGTCCAGGTGGTGGCTGTACCTGAGTCCTGGGCAGGGCAGAGGGCGCAGTCCATGCCCCAGGCCTCCCCGTAGAGGCAACAACACTCTGTGTAGGTAGCCTGGCGGTCCAGCCGTGGGCGACTGCACACAAGGTCAGCCCCCACTTCCTGCCAGCACACGCCCAGATTGTCATCTGACGGGAAAAGATAGCATGTATCAGGGCATGAGGGGGAGGCTGGGATCTGAGGTGCCCCGTCCCCTGCTGGAGCGGCCCAGCAATCCTCTGCCCAGCATTACATCTTTCTCATCAGCTGTGACAGACACCCAGAAGTCCTCTGAGGTAGCTCCAGGGTTCTAGACAGGGTGCGGGACTGAGAACAGGCTTGGTCTAGCATACACAATGAGAGGATAGAAAGGCCCAGTGGCTGGGAATATAGGTCTGAAAGGGTTCTATCTGTGCCCAGGCTAGGGAGGGCTGTGTGACTTGGGCAACTACTTTACTTCTCTGGCTACTGTTTGAATGAAGTCGCCGGGTCTAGGGAGATATTGTAGAAAAACGGAAGCAGGAGGAGGTAGGGGTTTGGGCAGAGAGAGAGAGACAGATGAAATAGACAGAAAAGACTGACCCAAAGAGTTAGGGACAAACACCTCCAAAGAGTCAGAGACTCAAAAACAGACAGACAGACCAAGACACAGAGACGAGAAACAGAGATTAAGAGCTAAATGCGAGGGGGCTTTGAAAAGTCTGTGGAAAAACGAGACTAAAATATAATGGAATTTTTCTGTGAGCTTTTTGAAGCCCCCCTGGTAAGTGTTAAAGAGTTCTGGTAGTATTGTGGGCTAAACATTAGGCTGTTAATCACAAAGTCGTCAGTTCAAATCCACCAGCCACTCTGAGGGAGAAAGATGAGGCTGTCTGCTCTGGTAATGATTTATAGTCTTGGAAGCCCTACTGAGGGTTTTGTTTTTTTTTTTCCTTTTCTCACAAGTGCTTGTTAAGTTATTTAGTGCTGTTGAGTCCATCCTGCCTCACACGGACCCTATATAGGGTTTCTGAGGAGCAGATGGTGGTTCTGAACCAGTGACCTTGCAATTCGCAGTCCAGTGCTTATCCTACAGCACCACTACCTGCTATTTATCAGTGTCTCTGTCTCTTTCCAGAGACAAATATCCAGAGAGAGTCAAGAATTCAGAGGAAAACTGAAAGACAGAAAGCCACAGAGAGGTGGAGTGAGATAGACAGACCCACAGAAATAACCTAGGTCTGGGCTATACTCATTGTTGTTGTTAACTGCCATAGAATCGATTCTGACTCATAGCTACCCTGTATAGGGTTTCTTAGGAGTGGTTGGTGAGCTTGAACTGCCGACCTTGCAGTTCAAACTGACTTTGCAGTCCAGCACATTACCCCAGTGACACACCAGGATTCCGGGCCACTCATAGGGGAGTCCAAAGCCACATGGCCACTTCATTTGCACTTAGATGGACCAACCCCATTCTAAATTCTTAGAAATGAAATTCCTCACAGCTAAGCTATAATGGTGGGGCTACAGTTCCCACTCAGTGTGCAAAAAGAAAGCTGGTGACCTAGTGTGGCACTGTGGCATAACGTACTAGACCATAAGGTTGATTTGAACCACAAAGTCGGCGGTTCAAACTCACCAGCCGCTCCTTGGAAACCCTATACAGCATCTCTATGAGTGGGAACTGTCCCGACAGTCCGCATTCAATGTGCAGAAAGGAAACTGGGGGTACACAGGACGAGAAGCAAAGAGCTTGTATTCATTGAGTCAGTAAGTGACAGGCGGCCTCTGAAACCTTCCCAATGACTAAAACCATTACCTTTAACCTTCTAAGGAGCCCTGCTTGTGTCGTGGATTAAGCGTTGGACTGCTAACTGAAATAAAAGGTGGAGGGTTTCAAACCCTCCAGCTTCTCTGAAGAAGAGTCTGTCTGCTTCTGTAAAAATATACAGCCTCAGAAACTCCATGAAGCAGTTCTGTCTGTCCTATAGGAGTAGTTCTATAGGGTCACGATGGGTCAGAATCAACTCAAAGGCAGGTTTGACCTACAGCAGGTTATGCTTTCGTTTACAATCCCAAATCAGATCCAGTCAAAACCCAGATTAGTGGGAGGAAGGGCGTGACCTGGGGGCGTGGCTGTTGCTTGGGTGGGGCCTGGGCCAGAGACTGAGCCTAGGGAGTGGGGGGTAGGCGGTATGGGCGGGACCAGGGCGGGACAAGACGGGTTTAGGGGGCGGGGTTACCGAGGCTCTGGCTCTCGTTGGAGACGCAGCGGCGCCGCGAGCGATCGAGCACGAGTGGGGCCTCACACGTGCAGTGATAGGAGCCTATGGTGTTGACGCAGCGGCCGCCCTCACAAGCCGGCTCCTCGTCCGCGCACTCATCATTGTCTAGGGAGGCAGGGGAGCAGTTAAGAGGCAGCCCCCTCAACACCCCTCTACCCTTTTCTGTCTCTCGCCCCAGAGCCCTGGATGGAGTCGAGACTCCAGGCAGGACTTCCCGGGATTGGAGTGGATAGGGGTTGCCTCCTACCGACGCATTCTAGACGCTGAGTATGGTAGTAATAGCCGTTGCTGCAATAACATGAGTAGCCCGGGGCCGTGTTCACGCACACGCCGCTCTTGCACACCTGGTCTTGGAAAAGCTGGCACTCGTCCACGTCTGAGAGAAGGGTAGTCCCAGGTGCGCCCACAGCAAGAGAAATGGGGGCACGTCAGGGTGTGAGGCAGGCGGGGCATGACCAGGCAGGAGGACTAGGGCCCATGGGGATAAAGCCCACAGAGAGAGATATAGAAAAATAGAGGCAAGAAGACAGGGATGGGGAGGAGGTGACCAGATAGAAACCGAGTGAGAAACCGAGATGAAGAAATAGAGACAGGGTGGGACAGAGGAGACCCCAGCTGGGCCTGAGGGCTTCAGGTGGGTGAAAGTTGAAGTCTGGTCTCACCTCTCCGGAGGGCCGGGTCTCCATTGGGTGCCAGGTAGCCCCGGCCATGGGGGCACAAGGACTGGTACTCCGCTGCACAGAGACAAACCTGAGTTCAGACACCTCGGTCCCAGCCATTGCCTTGGGCTCTTAGCCTGCGGGCACCCACCTGTCTTCATGTTTACCCTCACCCTGTGCCCACCCTTCACTGCTCCAGCCCTCAGGCCTGTGCCTGTGTGCCCACCTCTCGGTCTTATACCCACCTGTCTGTAACTCACACTAGCCCTTACAGTATACATGTCCAAATATGCCCTCTGTCCCAGTCCCATGCCCACCTGTCTCTACTGTAACCCTTAGTCCTATGCAGAGAGACTACCCATAAAACGAGGGGTACCCTTGTGCTACGGCATCAACAAAACAGGGCACCAGTTGTCCCAAGCAAAGACCCATAGATGCCAAGCAGACAGGGCACACGGAAAAGTAAGTGTCACAGTGCAAAGAAATTGATACCAGCTCCTGCGTGGAAGAATCTATTGGCTGGAAATAAAGTTCACCCAGGAATCCTGGTGTAGGATAAACACTAGACTGAAAGGTAGGTTTGAATGCAAGGCCAGCTGCTCAACCTCACCAATCGCTTCTCAGAAACCCTACACACAGTCACTATGAGTTAGAACCAACTCAATGGCACCTAACAACAATAACAAAAGGGGCATGAGGGCACCCATGTGAAAGGTTGTTTAAGCTCTGAGGTCCCTACCACTTCAACACCTTCATTGATCGACATCTATGATCCCTTCTGTGTAACTGAAATGCATATCTTAATGGGTCTCTTAGGAGTGTAATAGTTCTAATAAATAAGAGGTAGGGGTGGGCTGTTAAGTATACCTCTACCTAAAAATTAAATGTAATACTGTTTTCTGATCATTTCATTTTCTTTTATGACTTCTTTTCATTTGTTCCTTTATAATTATAGCATTTATTACCAAACAAGCATCAATTTTGCTGTTTTAAAGCAAAATTGGTGAAGGTCAAGTCTTTATTGTGGGGAGATCCCACAGAATTTTACATTAATCATTGAGACAACTGTTTCACCACCTCATTTTCTTTGTTGTAGCACATGTGGAATATCCTTTTTTTTTTTTGTAGAAAATGTAGTATACAGTCAAAGCCTTAGTACAAATTTTATAATCCAGTTAGTCTCATTTTGCTAAAGTGGCACATGCCACATTTACGTCCATTCACTAATCTGATGTTGTTATTGTTAGGTGTCATGGAGTCATTCCAACAGAATGAAACCCTGCCCGGGCCTGTACCTTTCCCACAATTGTTATGTGAACCCATTGTTGTAGCTACTGTGTTAATCCATCTCGCTGGGGGGCTTCCTCTTTTTTGCTGACCCTCTACACTAATATTATAATCACATTCAGAAAGAAATTACATCAAGGATAGCTAAGACACATGCACACACACAGGCATGCATCCACGTATATTTATAACTCATATCCCATCGAATGTGTGACTAACATGCCTTAGTCCAGCCCCAGTCCAGCATTCACCCATGCCCATCCATGCACACCTGTCTCAGTGCTTGGGCATTGCTGGATTCGGCAGCCACTGCCCCAGCCCTCGCCCACCGTGCAGCAGCACTCCTGCCATGTCACGTTCCATGCCAGGATGTTGTCACATGCATCTGGGGCCGCTGTGTCGAAGTAGCACTCTCGGCGTCCGCTGCTCACAGAACCCTGCCGTGGTGCACTGGGCCGGCGGGGTGGAGGCGGCCTGACAGGCAGGTGGGGACTGGAGGGCACCTGGGGCTGTGAGCCTGGAAACACACCTGGGGAGAAAAGGGGCCACAGCCTAGTGTGGGCCCATCCCACAGCCCTCCATAGAATATGTCCAGGGGGTACCCAGCTGGACCAGGATGTCACATTACCTCCGACACCACACTTGTCAAAAACCTGTCATAGTCCCTTTTCCCCCCACTCTTACTTCCTGTCATTCCTGCATCTCTTGTGCCCCCCACATCCCACTCTCCCAAGCATCTCCATCACTGCAGCGTCCCTGGCTCTTAGATGCTTCTTTAGGTGTTCCTCCATGGGTCCCAAGCTGGCCACAGAGTCTTCACCTCAAAACCAGATCTCATCCTGGACACTTCCCTCGTACCCTGGCTGTCCACTTGGCCTCTTGGGCCTCTCTCCCACCCACATTTTCCTCCTTCTCCATTAGCCCCCAACCTTGGTCCAGTCTTCGCTTGCCCAGGTCTTTGCCCCAGCCTCCTTCTTAGGTTCCCAGCCTCCAGCTTCACCCCTGCGATCCATCTTCACATGGCAATTAGAGGGAGGTTTCAAAATCAGATTACATTCCTCTCTTGCTTTAGACCTTGTGTGCCACAGCACCCCTCAGGCAAAGCCCAACTCCAGGCCTTGGTAAGTTCAGGTAAGACCTGCTTAACCCCGCGTCCTTCTCCGGCTTCCTCTCCTCACTCCATCCCTTGCTCTCCAAATTATGTAACACTAAACTTATTTTAGTTTCTCAAACATGTCAGAAACCCTCTTGCCTTACCAGGCCTTTGCTTTTTCTGTGTCTTCTGATCTCACTCACTCACTTTGCATCTACGCATGCTCCTGCTCTTAGCTCTTATTTCAGAAATCCTCTCCTGCAGGGAGTCCTCCATGGTCAGCCTCCTCTGGATTCCCAGGCCCCTGGGCTTCCCCCGATCACACATTTGTTCTCTCTGATCTGTGCTTTCTCCATCCCAGCCCTGACTATGTTGAGTGGCCAGCCTCTGCTAATATCTCTGGATTGTAAGAACTTTGAGGAGAGGAAGTGGTTTCTCTTGGTCACAGCTCTGTCCCCTGAACACAGTGGATTCCCTGAGAACATTTGTTAAATGAAGAAATGTGGCAGAAGCAGGGCCAGGATCTAGTTGTGACATGGAATCCCCACCATCCTTGTTAAACCATATGTTCTAACATTTTGTTGTTGTTAAAAAGAACATTTAACTGATAGCAGCTGTCCATATCAGGGATCATCAGGTCACATCATTTTCCTATAGGGTCAGCAGCCATTAGTGAATTAATTAATACACACTGGCATCTGTCTCACCAGCAGAAGTCCGGGGGGCAACACAGCGTCCAGTCATGGGGTCAAACTCCTCAGGGCTGGTGGGGCAGATACAGAGGAAGGAACCTTCAACATTCTCACACAGGGCAGTGCCACACACGCCCTGCAGTGTTTCACACTCATTCACATCTGTGAGTGGGAGACAAGGACAGGGAATCAGTGGGTCTTTGCATCTGTGATTCCAAAGATCTAGACGACTGAGTTTCAAAGATAAGAGGTATTTTTAACAGCCAGACTTCACCCTCTTTCCTCTGGTCTATGCCCTGAATTTTCTTGGGACCCTCTGCTCCTCCATTTTCAACCCATGTGTTTTGCTGAGGTCTAAATCAATTCCCAAGGGTGGGCACAAGTTCCAGGCATGGGGCAATCAGATTCCTGCATTTCTCTGGTTCAGAGATGGGCCAATCAAAGCCAGATCTGGGACTTCTGCTAGAAATATTGAAATTTTAGCCCTAAGAAACCCTGATGGCTCCATGGGTGAAGCACTGGTCTGCTACCCAAAAGATTGAGGGTTTGAACCCACTGGCCATTCACCGGAGAATGATAAGGCTGTCTGTCCGCTGCTGGAAAGACTGACAGCCTGGGAAATCCTGTGAAGCAGTTCTTGTCTGTCCTATACAGTCACGATGAGTCAGTAGTGGACTTGGTTTGGGTTTTTCTTTAGAACTAAGAGTCCTGGTGGTACCACGATTTAAGCATTCAGCTGCTAGCTGAAAGTTCAGCAGTTTGAAGCACCAGGCATGCTTCGGGAGAAAGATGTGGCTGTCTGCTTCCATAAAGATGTACAGCCTTCGAACCCTATGGGGCAGTTCTACTCTGTCCTATAGGATCGTTTAGTCTGAATCAACTAGAAAGTAAAAGTTTCGTCTTAGCCCTGTGGTTGGTCATCATTGTGAGAAATCTGCATGAAAATTAATCCAATACAGGAAGGCAAAACTGAGGAGTGGAGACAGTAAGCATCTTGATTCAAATCCTGGATCCAGTTATGCCCGAAGTCCAGCTATATCCTAGGACTTGGCAGTTTTAATGAGTTGTTTTTTGTTTTTTAAATATAGCCTGTTGTGCTTGCATTTGTCAAAACTTAGCAAGACTATATATCTAAGATTCATGCATTTCACCGTATGTAAATTTTACCTCAAATGAAAATATCAGGAAACATACATTGGAGTCCTGATGAGGCACTGTGGGTTAATGCATTGCACTGCAATGTTGGTTTAAACCACAAAGTCGGTGGTTCAAGCTCACCAGCAGCTCCTGGGAAACCCTATACAGGGTCACTATGGGTCAGAACTGATTTGATGGCACTTAACTACAACATAAACATATATTAAACTCTAGTTAGAGATTATTGTTGTTACATGCCACCCAGTCGGCTCCATTTCATAGCGATCCTATTAGACAGAGTAGAACTGACCCCATTAGGGTTTCCTACACTACAAACCTTTACGGAAGCAGATTGCCACGTCTTTCTCCTGCAGAACCGCTCGCTGGTAGATTCAAACCAGCAATCTTTTAGTTAACAACATAGTGCTTAACTATTGTGCCACTAGGGTTCCTTGAAGCAAATATGGTAGTGATGGTTATGTGCCGTGGAGTTGGAACTGACTCACAGCGACCCTGTACAGGGTTTCTGAGGCTGTAAATCTTTATGGGAGCAGAAAGCCTCATCTTTCTCCCATGGAACAGATGGTAGTTTCAAACTGCTGACCTGGAGGTTCGCAGTCCGATTCATAACCACTACGCTACCAGAGCTCCTCTGAAGCAAATATAGTCATATGATAATAACAGAACTTAGGCCATGAGACACAGGCCTTCATTCTATCATTCTTTCAATTTGCTGTCAATGTTTAAATGTTCTTCATAAAATGTAGAATGAAAGAAGGATGTTTTAATACATTTAAACCCCGCCCCCCAAAAAAAACCCACTGGCATCAAGTTGGCTCTGACTCACAGTGACCCTGGAAGACTGAATAGAATGGCTCCTTACAGTTTCCAAGACCAGAACTCTACAGAAGATGACAGCCTCTTTTCTCCCACAGAGCAGCTGGTGGGTTAGAACCACTGACCTGGAGGTTAGCAGTCCAACACAACCCACTGTATTACCAAGGCTCCTTTATACAGACTTGTTTCTGTTAAGTGCCGTTGAGTTGGTTCCAACTCATAGCCACCCTGTATAAGATTTCCAAAGAGTGGCTAATGGGTTTGAACTGCCGATCTGTACCACAACTTCTTGCTGTTGTTGTTATGTGCCGTGGAGTTGGTTCCGACTCATAGCGACCCTGCATACGGCTTCCAAGGCTGTAAATCTTTATGGGAGCAGAAAGCCTCATCTTTCTCCTGTGGAACAGCTGGTAGTTTCGAACTGCTGACTGTGAGATCAGCAGCCCAATTCGTAACCACTACATTACCAGAGCTCCTTTAAGATACCATTTTTTTTTTAAAAAAGGGCTTTTTTAAAAAGCACCAAAAAAATGTCAGTCTGAATAGGGTTTCTGGCATTTGCAACCAGACAATTCTGACTGAAAACAAAAACTCAGCCTACTGCCATCGAGTCAATTCCGACTCCTAGTGATCCTAACTAGGGTTTCTGAGACTGCAGATCTGTAAAGGAGTAGACAGCCTCATCTGTCTCCCAAGGGGCAGTGATTGAACTGCTGACCTTGTGATGAACAATCCAGCGCTCAATCCACATGCTACATGGTCAACTCCTTCCCCACCTTCCGGTTCCACCCAAACCCCACCCACCGCCTGGAGCCCCGTACCCACGCAGTGACGCCCATCTCGCGCCCCCTCGTAGCCCTGGTCACAGAGGCACTGGAAGGAGCCAGGCAGGTTCTGACACATGGCGTGGGCCCCACAGAAGGACCGGTTCCGACACTCGTCCACATCTGCAAACACCAAACAGTCAGGCAAATGCTTGGCTTCTCTCCTACCCGTTTCCCTCCAAGTCTCACCCAATACTTGCTGGACACCCACCCTGGCATCCGCCCCCTGGTGTGGGCTGATATCCAGGGTCACAGGCTGGTGTGCAGCGGTAGGAGCCAGGGGTATTCTCACAGCGCTGGGCCCCACAAATTGTGGGGCCATATTCTCGACACTCATCCACATCTGCAAGACAGCAAGCAGAAGGAAGGGGATTCACAGGTTTTCATTTCACTTCTAGTCCCATGTTGCAGAAGTCTTCTATGAACTTCATGTCCTAGGAGTCTGACCTTCTAAAGATGAACTAGTGTTGACAACTCATTGCCATTTCCCAAGAGCCCAGGGTTCTACTTCAAGCCTTTTGCACTTCATGTTCCCTGTGCTAGGAATACTCGTCCCTCAGCTATCAGTAGGGCTGTGTCATATGTGTCAGTGAAGTCCTAACATCTCTCCCCAAACTGCCCTGTTATCTCTGTCCACTTATCCGGCGTTAGCTTTCTTCCTCAACCTGATACTGTTGTTAAGTGCCGTCGAGTCGGTTTCAACTCATAGCAATCCTGTATAGGGTCTCTGAGGTGTTGTTTTTTTTTTAATCTTTGTAGAAGCAGAATGCCTCATCTTTCTCCCACTGAGCGGTTGGTGAGCTCCCAACAACAGTCCTTGTGGTTCACAGTCCAGTGTTTATCATATGGAGACAGAATGCTCCCCCAACTTGATATTATACTTATTTATATCTGTGTAGGAGGCCTTGGTGTGGGCTGCAAAGTCAATTTGAACGATAAGGTTGGCAGTTCAAACTCACCTCTTTTGCCTCAGAAACCCTATGTTGTTGTTGTTATGTGCCGTGGAGTTGGTTCCGACCCATAGTGACCCTGAACAGGGTTTCCAAGGCTGTAAATCTTAACGGGAGCAGAAAGCCTCATCTTTCTCCCGCAGAGCAGCTGGTAGTTTCGAACTGCTGACCTTACGGTTCACAGCCCGATTTGTAACCACTACGCTACAGGGTGGCTATTTGTAGGCACTTAACAACAATAACATATCTATGCAGATTTCTAATATGCCCACTATTACCCCCACTAAAATGCAAACTCTTTAAGAGCAAAGATTTGTGCCTGTCTTGATTGCTGTTGGTAAGTGCCTTCTAGTCTGTTCCTACTCACAGTGACCCTGTATAAGGTTTCTGAAGAACAGCTGGTGGGCATGAACTGCCAACCTTGCAGTTCAAACAGACCTTGTGATTCAATGCTTATCCCACATAGCTACACCAGGACCTGGGCAGTGCCCAACAATTCTCTATGTTGGATGACTTGAGGTGATTTATTTCTTTGTTGTCTGTCTCCCCAGCTAAAATGTCAACCCCATGACAACAGCGATTTCTGTTGGATTCATTTCCTGTTGTGTCCTCTAGTACATGAATTTTTGTGGAGTTCATGACTCTGTGGGTCAGGCAACCAGAAAGGCAAGTGTAGCACAGAGTTGTTTTCTTCCATTTGTCCCACAAAATTTGTTCCCACCCAATCTCCAAAAAAAGAGCTCTGGCAGCTTAGTGGTTACGAATCAGGCTGCTAACCTCAAGTTCATAAGTTCGAAACTACCAGCTGTTCTGTGGCAGAAAGATGAAGCTTTCTGCTCCCGTAAAGATTTACAGCCTCGGAAACTCTGTACAGGGTCGCTATGAGTCGGAACTTACTCCACGGTACTTAACAACCTCCAAAAACATCTTGGATTACCTCCAGCCTTATCAGTTTCTTATCAGTACCCAGCTGGAGGATGGCCACAGAAAAAGAAGGAAGCAAGGGGCGGAAGTGAAGGAGGAGTTAAGTGGGGAGAAGGGGCGGGGTAGATGCCTTCAGTAGGACTGAGGATCCAAAAGGGGCGGAGTCTGGAAAAGGGAGGAGCCTGGAGAGATGACTGGAACTTAGGACTGGACTCAGGGGCAGTAGTCTGCGGAAACCTCAGGGAATTTCACTAGGGCAAGTAGGGTTGAATTTGAAAGGGCATCTAGAAGTAAGAAGAGTGTATTATATTAAGAGGAAAGACTGAAAAGGGCGGGATCTAAGTCTTCTTATTGTGGCACGAAGGGGGCTTCAAAAAGTTCGTGGTAAAATGGAATTAAAAGATGGTATTTTTCCATTAACTTTTTTAACAACCCTCCCACACACACACACACACACGCCTTGTATGTCGACTGTGCAGAAACTGCTCAGGAGAAATACTTGTTTCTGGAAGCGAGGTTTGGCCTGATTCTTCATAGGAGGGTACCCCCCACACACACACCCAATATAAGGACTCAACGGCGGCTTTTTCCCCTCACAGACATAATGAGAAGCGGTTAAGTCTGTGAAGCAGGCCAGCCTCTCCTCTGTCCCCACCGAGAAAGACTCAGAAGTTCTCACCGTCACAGGTGCCCTCTGGACCCGCGTGGTACCCAGGGTCGCAGTCTCGGACACAGCGGTAGGAACCGGGGGAGTTCTCACAGCGCTGGGCCCCACACAGGGCCGGGCCCCTTTCACGGCATTCGTCCACATCTGAAGGGGGAGGCAAGGAGAGGGAGCGGGGCGGGGGTGTCACAAGATGGGGGAAGCAAGAAAAGGGAAGGGAGGTAGCAGCTGATGCAAAAGGTGGGATGCAAAGGGATCCGGTCGGGTCTGAACCTCTTACCGAGGCAGGAGGCAAGGTCTGGGCTGGCGCGGTGGCCCGGAGGACAGATGCACTCGAAAGAGCCATCTGTGTTGGTACAGATGCCGCTCTGGCAAAGGTCCTCCTCGCTGCATTCGTCTACGTCTGCAGGGTAAAGAGACTCGTGGAAACCATGGTTCTACCTCCTCCCTTGCTTAACCTCTGGCCACACCCCTCGACCGCCCCTTTCCCCGCCCCTTTCCCCGCCCTTCTAGGCTCCTTCCCCTACCTGCTTTAGGCTCGTTCCTTTCCTGGAGTCCCGCCCCTCTGACTGCCACCATGGCCCAACAAGCTTAGTCCTACCCCTTGCTGATTTACAAGTGGCTCCCACTGATTTACAAGTGCTGCCCTCAAGGTGCATCAAGACCCTAGGTCAAAAATTAAGACTTTCATTCTCCTGGTCGTTCGCGCCTTTTCCTGGTCTAATCCTGCCCTGTCCTGGTCCAGGCCCTGACCAGGTACGGACCAATACAAGAGGCTCCACGGGGTCCAGGCCGGTATCCTGGGGCACAGGTGCAGGCAAAGGAGCCGTCCGTGTTAAGACACTCGCCGTGGGGGAAGCAGAAATCTCCTTCCAGGCACTCGTTCACATCTAGGGTACCAGAAGAATAGGGTTGAGGGTCCCAGTTGATATTGTTGTTATGTGCCTTGGAGTCAGTTCCGATTTATAGTAACAGGGTTTCCGAGGCTGTAAATCTTTACGGGAGCAGAAAGCCTCATCTGTCTCCCGAGGAGCAGGTGGTAGTTCTGAACTGCTGATCTTGCAGTTCGCAGCTGGATTCGTAACCACGGTGCTACCAGAACTCCTTTACCTGTGCCCAAATCAAAAGCCCTACTCACAAACCAGATGGCCAGTTTCCAAATTCTACCCATAGTCCTTTAACCTAGGTTCCACCTTTGCAGGAGACCTAGTGGTGCCGTGGGCTGATAACCACAAGGGTTGATGTTCAAACCCACTAACCACTCTGTGGAAGAAAGATGAGGCAATCTGTTCCTGTAAAGATTTACAATCTAGGAAACCCTAAGAAATAGATTACCTTGTATTACAGGATCAGATGGCTGCTTTCCAAAGTCCACCCACAGACATTTAATCCAGTTTCCACCTTTCTACAGTAACCTTTAAGGAGCTCTGGTAGCATAGTGGTTATGAATCGGGCTGCAAACCATAAGGTCAGCAGTTCGAAACTACCAGTCGCTCCGTGGGAGAAAGATGAGGCGTTCTGCTCCCGTAAAGATTTACAGCCTCGGAAACCCTGTACAGGGTCGCTATGGGTCAGAACCGACTCCACGGCACTTAACAACAACAGTAACCTTTCAGGAGCCCTGGTGGCACTGGACTGTGAACTACAAGGTTGGTGGCTGGACCGCGCCAGCCTCTCTGAGGGAGAATGATGAGGCTTTCTACGCCTACAAATATTTATCATTTTAGAAACCCTATACAGCAGGGGTGGGGAACCTTTTTTCTGCCAAAATTTACAACATTATTCATGGGCCATACAAAACTATCAACTTAAAAATTAGCCTGCTATATTTGGTCAAATACATAATTAACTCACTCCTAATAAACCCTATAGAGTCCTGGTGTGGCACTGGGGACTAATGCGTCAGACTGCAAAGTCGTTTGAACTGCAAGTTCGGTGGTTCAAGCTCACCAGCTGCTCCTTGGAAACCCTATACAGGGTCGCTATGGATTGGAATCTTAGCAAACAACAACAAACAAACCCTATGGAGTCCTGGTGTGGCGCTGTGGGTTAATGCACCAGACTGCAAACCCATTTGAACTGCAAGGTCGGCTGTTCAAGCTCACCAGCTGCTCCTCAGAAACCCTATACAGGGTCGCTATGGGTCGTAACTGACTCGCCAGCACCTCACATCAACAACAATAAACCCTATACAGGGTGGTTATGGACTGGAACCTACTCAACCGCACTTAACAACAACAATGTGATGGCTGTGGGCTAATGTACTGGACTGTAAGGTTGATTTGAACCACAAAATTGGTGGTTTAAGCTCACCAGCCACTTCTTAGAAACCCTAGACAGAGTTGCTATGAGTCGGATTCAACTCGGCAACACTTAACAACAATAGCAATGTAATGGTTGGAACTGTAGTTGCTTTAGCAGGACCAGACCAAAGGATTTTGTGGGCCTGACGTTCCCCACATCTGCTATACACGGTCGACTAAAAGTTGGAACGACTACAAGGCTTTAACAACAACAACAACAACGGCTCATTATGAGTTGGAATTGACTTGATGGCAGTGGATTTGGGGGTTTTGGAGTAGGCTTTGTCCAGGCCTGAGTCCCAGGCTCCCCAGTGTGTTGTTCCTACCCTGCCCACCTGCACAAGGTCCAGGCTGACTGGCTGGGGGCCGATAGCCTGACATACAACTGCAGCGGAAGGAGCCATCCGTGTTAGTGCAGTGACCATGGGGTCCACAGGGGGTACCTGCACTGCATTCGTCCACATCTATGAGAGAAGGAATTTTAGAAAGTCACCAGCTGCTCCTTGGAAACCCCTACACAGGGTCGCTATGAGTCTGAACCGACTCGAAGGCATTTCAATAAAGGAGTCCTGGTGTGGCGCTGTAGGTCAAGCACTGAACCACAAGATTGGATTGAACTTCAAGGCCTGTTCAAACATACCAGCCAATCCCCGGAAATCCTATACAAGGTCGCTATGAGTGGGAACCAACTTGATAACACTTAACAATAACAATCTGGGAATGCATCAGACAGGCAGATCCCTTTTGGGACACAGGGGTCTGCAGAAGTTGTGGGAAGTAAGCGTCAGGGTCTGGAATTATGCTGGAAGTTAGGATCCATGGTGAGGGGAACTGAGAATGGTCTCAGAGAAGAAGCAGGGGCAGAAAAAGAGAAGGACAAGGATGACAAAATCAGGGGTTGTGGCTCTGGTCAGGCTTGTGGTCAAAGATCACGCTTGGGTCAAATGGCACAGTTTGAGGATGACAGGTCATATCCAGGGCTAGGGGACAGTCAGGCTCACTATACTCTAATTGCTATCAGGATTGTGGTTAAGAGTTAGGACTAGGGATCACATGTGAAATGTCATGGGGTCAAACGTCACAGACAGGTTTCAAAGTTATTGGATCATGGAGTCAGGAGTCACATTCAGGGTCAGGGGATCAAGGTCCAGGTCAGGAGGTTATGAGCCAAGCTAGAATTGTGACTGTGGTCAGGGGTCCATTCTCACCAATGCATCGGCCATGGTGCAGGTGGTGACCGGCTCGACAGGCCCTGCACTGGAAGGAGCCAGGTGAATTCACACATTCCTGTCCAGGACAAGCCAGGTGGTTCTCACACTCATCCACATCTGGGGGGTGGAGTTGCACAAGGGAAAACACGGCCTTGAAGGAGTGTGCACCCCAGCATTTCCCCATCCAGCTCCACTCTTCCCTCCCTGGCCTTACCTTCACACTGGGAGCTGGCTGCATTGGGCTGGAACCCCGTGGGGCAGACACACTGAAAGCTACCTTCTGTATTCTCACACCGGCCATAGGCACAGGGCGGAGGGTTCCGGGCACACTCATCTATGTCTGAGGCAGAGGGGGCTGATGGGGCTGAGGATGGGTCCTGGACCCATCCCCATTGCCATCACGACCCACCCCCACATTCCAGTCTTGAACCAGTCTCCTGGACTTTGCCCAAGCTGCTCCTCACCCTCGTCTTCCCAACTAATGGTCTCTCCATTGCGAACATGAGGTTAAGGTCCCACCTCTTCCATGTCACCTTCCCCACCTGAGAGTTGTCCCTTCCTTAGGGTTTCCACAAGCAGAAGAGTATCATCCAAAAAAGGAAGTAGGAAGGCGGAATACTAGTGCATTCTCAAGAAAGAGGAAAACTCTGGAGACAGACTCTCCCCATTCTTGTCAGTATCCCATCTCTCTGCCTCTGCTCCAAGTCACTCTGCTGTCCTGCCCCCTCGTAATGTCTCTACCCAGTTCACATAGGAAACGGTGGTGGAACTGTTGGATTCAGCACCCTCACCTTGGCAGGGGGCCCCTGGCCCTTGGGAGCGGAAGCCAGAGGGACAAGCACAGTGAAAGGAACCAGCTGTGTTATCACAGCGACCTGGTCCACAGGGTGGTGGTTCCTGGGAGCATTCATCCACATCTTCCTCACATGTTGAGCCCCGGAAGCCAGCCGGGCAAACACAGCGGAAAGAGCCGGACAAGTTCTCACATCGGCCTCGTCCGCATAGGCCTGGGTTCTGAGTGCACTCATCCACATCTGTTCAGAGTAAGGACCTCCTTTAAGCCCCTCCATAGCCTCCCCTGCCTCCTCAGTCTCCATCATTTTGACTTCTCCTTCTCCATCATTCTGTTCCCCTGCTCATCCCTCTACCTGCTCATAGCCATCAGTTCACCTACCTGACCATCATTCCAGCTTTCTGACTCTCCACTACTAAGCTACCTCGTCCTTAATGAGTGGATCTCTCTCTCTTCTGTCCTCCATAACTCAGCCTCCCCTTGCCTGTTAGTATCTTCAACCCCAGCCCTCTGCTTCTCTCTTTTCCATGACTCAGCCTTTCTATGTCCCACCACTTGGCACCTCCATCCCATGGCACTGTCTCAACTACCTTCACCAAGGCGACATGTCTGGCTTTCAGCACTTGGCCTCTGTCTCCCATCAGTCAGCCTCCTGTGCCCCATTGCTCAGTCTCTCCATTCCCCATCCCTGCCCCTCTTGCCTTCTCCCCACACCTTCCTCTCAGTTCCTTCCAGTCCCTCACCCTGGCAGCTGGCTCCATGTGGTGCAGCCTGGTACCCGGCTGGGCACACGCACAGGAAGCTGCCTGGTGTGTTCTCACAGCGCCCGCGGTCACACGGCGGGGGCACGCGGTGGCACTCGTCCACGTCTGTGGGCACAAACCGGATGGCTGGGAGTGGTCAGACACTCCCCAAGGGAAACGTTGGGGTGGCCACAGGCGGGGCTAGGGTTGGGCCTCTAGCCACGGTGGGGCGGAGGCCAGAAGCAGTTGGGAGGCTTGGATGGGGGAGACTCAAGACGAAGGCGGGGCTTGAACAGGGAGGGCAGAACAAGGACTGCGGATTGGGCCAAGCCTGGAGCGGAGAGGGGGGATCGTGGTAGAGAGACAAATGGGAGAAGACAGGGCGTGGGCAGGGCAAAGGTGGGAAGGGCAGATTTGGGACCTAGGCAGAACTGCAGGGAGAAGTGGGGCTAAGGAAGGGACAGCGCACGGGTGTGACCGGGGTAGAATCAGGGGTCGTAGTCTGGAGATTGGTTGCAGCAGTTGTAGGGTGGGAAGAGCCTGGGGGGAGGCGGGGAGCTAGTCTGGAACGGGGAACAGACGGGCGGGACCAATGGTGGGCGGAGCCACGACGTGGTCACAGATGGAGGCGGGTCAGTAGTGGAGCTGGGACCTGGCCCTACAGAAAGACCCGGTTTAGGGGTAGCACTGTGGCGGGGGCTCCCGGGGTGTAGTCGCTGTGGGAGGGGCAGGGCACTAGCAAGACAAGGAGGGGCGTGGACCCTCAAATTGCGGAGACTCTGGTCCCGAAGGGAAATTAGAGAGGGACCGACACGGGTGTGGTCTACAGTCGGGTGGGACGGACTTCTTACCCAGGCACTCCGTGGCCCGCGGGCCTGCTCGGAAACCCGGGCCGCACACGCAGCGGAAGCTTCCTGGAGAATTCTCACAGCGCCCGGGAGAACAGGGAGGGGGTACGCGGCGACATTCGTCTAAGTCTGAAGGCACGAAAGGGACTGGTCAACGGGTGACCCGGCAGAGCGCCCTGCCGTGTCTCCATCCACCCTCTCCACCCAGCTCACCGATGCAGTGTGTGCCCTGGGGGTTGAGCCGGAAACCCGAGTCACACAAGCAAGTGTAGCCACTGGGGCGAGGGATGCAGCGTCCGGGGCCGCAGACTTGGGGATTGCGCTGACACACGGGGGGAGCTAGAGAATCCAGTCATCCAGGGTTCCCCCATCTCCGAATCCTCTGTCCCTTTCATCCCAGTACAGTTCCCTCAGATCCCTTGCTTCATCAATGTCCCCTCCCCCAACCCAGTCTTCCACCTCTGATTCCCCTCTCCGTCATGGAACATTCTCCTAGGATCATCTGCCGGAACCATAATACCACTTTCAGGCCTCTTCAACCTTTGAAGTCTTCCCAACTTTCTGGCTGAGGTGTTTTCTTAATGTCTTCAGTGTTAAGTACTAACTGAGCACTTACTATGTACTCTTCAAAAACATCTTGCTGAATCCTCACAATTAACTCCATTTTACAAATGAGAAAACGGATACTTGACTATATGTATTCTGTCTGACTACAGTTTCTGATGTAATCACCACCTACCCAAAGCTTCAAACCTTTATCTCTTCCCACCCATTCCTTAACTCCTCTGCCTCTGACATTCGTGTTCTGTCCTTTTGCCGAAATACCCCCTACCAATAGTATTGCCATCAGTGACTTCGAGCCCTTCTACTGCACCTGACTCAGAACTCTCAGAACCAGGGCGGGCAGGGATACTGGGCCGGGGAAGCTCAGCAGGGCCAGGCTGGGGTTCAAGTCTGTGTTCAGGTCGGGGCTCTGGGCGATGGGTGGGCAGAAAGCCTAGTAAGGGAGAGGCATCAGTGAGTGAGGACTTAAATTCAGATGCCCCCACTCCTCTTGCATCCTTTAGGAGGATGGGGCAGCCATGGAAACAACATCCCCTCTAGAAGAGTCAGCTCACCTGCAGGAGTGGCAGGCTGGGGGCGAGGCTGGCTGATGGATACGCGTGGTGGCTCCTGGCCCAGGGGTCTGGTGTTGTAGCGAAGGTCAGAAGCCGAGTAGTGGTAACCGGGGCCAGCCGGGCAGATCTCCCGAAACCCCTCTGGGAACAGGAAAGGAAGGGAGAGGAGCAGAGAGAGGTGGAAAAAGCCAGAGGAGGAGGGGCAGACGATGGGTGAAAGGGGGGGTGGCAGAGGGCGGGCAGGGTTTGGCCTGGGAGTATGTTGGGGTTTGGGTTGGAGGCTGGGACTGGTGGGCCCCTGGCCAAAGTAAAGGACTCCCCGCAGGTTAAGAGTGGACCATCAAGGACTGTTTTTTCTCCCTCAGGAAATGATGGCAGGGACAGTGGTCTACGGGCGAGTTCTGGTTTGGGGTAGATACATCAGGAACTGGACTGGAAGTCAGGAAATAGTCAGTTCCGCTATGGGGTTTGCTTTTAGTCTGGAACTAGCTTGCCAGAGGTGTGTTTCAGGAAGGGGCTGTGTTGGGAAAGCAGCCTGTAGCCTGGACTGAATAGGACGAGGTAGAGGGTGGGTGTGGGGTCAGGGAGGAATACTGTCTGAGGATAGTTCATCTTGAGTCTGGGGCACTGACCACCGACCACCAGCAGTGTGCCTCCGGGTTTGGGGGCAGGCCTAGACTGAGAGCTGTGTGTGTGTCACATCTGGGCCTGGACAGGGCAAGAGTGATCACCTGAGCCAAAGGGTGGACAGAGCTGGCAGCCCCGGCCCCAGGCCTTGCCTACTCGGCTACAGCAGCAGATCTGTTTGGTGATGTTACGCAGGATTGGCAGCGAGCAGCCGCCGTCGCGAAGCACGCGGAAGCAGGGCCCCTTAGCCTCGGAGATCACGTGTTGGGCTGGGGAATAGGAAGGGGAAGGAAACTGATGAGGGCAGGGTTGAGGCTTTGGCAGAGCTGAGGAATGTTCCTGGGCGATGGTCCCAGGGTGGGCTTGTTGGGTATGAAGGACGTTTGGGAGGGTCTGGAGGTCTGAGAAGTGTTTGAAGGTCTGAGGGGGTTTGAAGATCTGAGGACTTGAGGGGTTCTGAAAGGGATGTAAGGGTTTGAAGATGCTTTGATGGTCAGAAAGAGTTGGGGGAACTCGAGCTTGAAAGGAGGTGAAGGGGTCTGTGGATCCTAAAGGTTTTTGAGGGCTTCTTGGAGGATCTGAGGGTGTTCTGAACTGAGACTGAAGAAGATCCTGGGTAATGAAAGTCTGAGAAGTGGCGGGGGAGAGGAAAGGGGCTCTGGATGTAGTCTGGGGGCATATGATGAAGGCTCAGCCCCCTCCTGGAGGCTCACAAATGCAGCTGCTGCGGGACGAGTCGAGCAGGAAACCATCAGGACACACGCACGTGTACCCGCCGCGAGTGTTGACGCATTCTCCGTGCTGGCAGCGCCCCCTGGTTGCGCACTCATCTACATCTGAGAGGAATGGGCAGTCACAGTGACGTCAGGAACTACAACCGCACCAAAGAGCAAAGCCCCGCCCCCGCGCCTCCAGCCAATTTACCTTCGCAGGACCCATTCATCCTTTCAAAGCCTGCTGGACACGGTCTATCCGGGGAGCCCCTTTGGGCGGAGTTTCCTGTGGAGGCAGGAGAAAGTTGGGCCTGGGACGGTGGACGAAACGAGAATGGTATGGGCAAGATGAAAGTTGGAAAGAAACCACTTGGATGTGGCTTGAAGCCCTAGGTTGGAGATTTGAGAGGACAAACGGAGGTTGCAGAAATACATGGGTGAAACCAAAGCATAAAACTTGAGTTAGAGCTTAGTGGCCAAATGCAATGGTGGTGAGAGTTGGTTCCAGAACGTTAATGTAGAGTCTAGACTGGAAATCCTTAACCACAACAGGGTGAGCGTGTCTAGAACTTGTGCGCGTGGTTGAAATATGGGCGGGGTAAGGTCGGCGGTTCAAACTCATCAGCCGCTTCTTGGAAACCCTATACAGGGTCGCTATGAATCGGAACCGAGTCGACGGCACTTAACAACAGCACAGAGAACCTTGGGGGACATCCTGGGGACTTACGCAGGTGCTCCGAACAAGGCTGGCAGTCGTGAACGCCCCAAGCCAAGCCGGCCCCTTGGCAGCAAATTTCACGAGTCCGAAGCCCAGGCAGCGGGGACGCACACTGTGGGGAAGTGTTGGGTGAGTGCGCCCTCGCGCGTTGGCACGCTCCAGGCCCCTCCCCACTGGCCTACTCTCACTTCGCTTCCGCGCAGCTCCCGAAAGCAGTAACCATAGCCCGAGGCATCAGAGTAGCTATCCTCACGGGGCGCACTCTGTCCCAACACGGTGTAGGGCGCCGCCGCCTCCGCGCGTGCCGCCGCTTCTGCCCGTGCCACCGCCTCGGCGTTCGCCTCCGCCCAAGGCCCAGACACACGCTCCACCTGGTGCACCACCACCGACGCCTCCTGCGGATGCTCCACGTGGACGCTCACCATAGACGCCACGCCTGGCGGGAGACAAAGACAACCAAAAGGGTGTCTACACCGGTTCTTATGAACTAGACTAGGAATGGGGAGTACTCATGGGCGGAGAAAATGGACGTCAGAGGAATGGTGAGGTAGTGGACAGAGAGGGTCGTAGGGGACTCAGGCTGAACTCTCCTCACCGTGTTCGTCGTCGCGATGGTTGGCCAGTGGCATGGTGTACACAGAGCGGGTAAGGCCTGGCATGGCCGGGGCCGGGGGTCGGGCGCCGGAGGAGTGCAGCTGACAGAATTTGCCCGCGAAATCCGGTGGACAAAGGCAGCGGTCAGGCTTCATGCACACACCGCCGTTATGACAGATCAAGGGACAAAGGACTGGGGAAGAAAGCAACATTCAGGATGGGCACTTCTTCTGTAGGGACCCCTGGGGTCCTGGCACTCAAGTTAGCCCGGTCTTCTTTGTTATAACTGAGAATTTCCATTTCTTCTCCCCGTATACTGAATCAGAACCCAGTCTATCAAGAGCCCATGATTAAAGCTAAGCCCTCAAATTTGTTAACCCAAGGCCATGAATCCATTCCAACTCATCGCGACCCTGTAGGGCATAGTAGAACTGCCACATAGGGTTTCCAAGGCAGCAAATCTTTTAAGGAAGCGGAACATCTTTCTCCTGGAAGCACTGGTGGGCTCGAACCGTTCACCTTTTGATTAGCAAGCCCATGCTTTAACCACAGCGCCACGAGTGTTTTGTTCTGTGGCGCCCGTTCCGAATTGTAGCGATCTTTTAAGTGCAGAGTTGAATTGCCCCATAGGTCTTATGGAAGGAGATCTGGTGACGCCGTGGTTAAATTCTCAGTTACCAACTGAAATGTTAGAGTCCACTAGCCGCTTCTCGGAAGAAAGACGTGGCAATCTCCTTTAGTAAAGATTTCATCGTTGGAAACCCTATGGAGCCGTTCTACTATGTCCAATAAGGCCGCTATGAAGCAGAATGTACTTGAAGGCAATGACTTTGGTTTGATGGGTTTGGTTCTCTATGAAAGCAGACTGCCACATTTTTCTCTCACAGAGTGACTGACTGCTGGTTTGAACCTCCGACTTTTTGATTAGTAGTGTAGCCCTGAACCACTACACTTCGGTTCTAAATCGTTCTGTCTTGTGGTCTTGCCTCAACTCCAGCCACCTGCACGGTCCCCACCGAGCCGTTCATCTCGCAGAGACGTAGCTCAGTCAATGGAGTAGCCTCGCCACGCCCTAAGATTCATTCTCTAACTTTCTTGTCGCCCCGCCCCTTCGCTCTAGTCTGGCCATTCCATTTTCTAGCTGAGTTCTCAGCGTTCCAGGCCCGCCCACTGTCTCGTTAGAGGTTTAGCCACGCCCACTTTGTAGTCTAGTGAGGACCTAAACTGTTTCAGACACGCCCATCTAGGCTGGCCTCTTCAATTGACTCAAACCACATTTTAGCCTCTCGGGGCAATACTCCCCCTTCCCATTCTAGGCCCGCCCACACCCCTTCTGGCCCGGTACGCCAAGTCCCAGCTCCTCCCACTTCTCACCGCGCCCACTTTACCTTCCACTTTCACCTGCGAGAACCTAAACTCCGCCTATCAAGGAGTCTAACCTGATAATCTTTAGCCCCGCCCACCTTCCTTTCTTCTCTCAGATTTGCTCTGGTTCACTCCCTCAGCCCTTTCCACTCCGCCTCCCTGCTCTCCAGGCGTCCTAGCCTTGCCCACCGCGCTTTGTCCCCGCCCACCTTTCCTCTGGCTGGGGCTTCAGAGTTCTAGCCCTGTCTTCTCGCCTCCGGTAGCCCTGGGGTGGGGCCCCCAGCGGGAACACGCCTCCACTCCCCTTTGCGCGCCCTCGCTGGGCCCTTGGCCACCTCCCGGAGGAACACTGCCAGCTGTCCGGCGGGGTAAACAGAGAGAGGGGTGCGGCGGGGGCAGGGCGGTGGCTCCACATTCCGGACCCTTCGGGAGCCCCGGGTCCATTTAGCCAAAGGAGACCATACGCGTCCTACAAGGGCACCGCCCCCCTCCTTCTCTCCCCTGGGGCTGCTGGAAAACAGCTGGAGACAGCTGTGCGGAAGGGAGGGAGGGGGCAGGCGGCCGCGGCGGTCCAGGGAAGCGTGTGTGGGACTGTGAGCCCTGAACCCTCAGAGGACAGTATGGGGAAAGCCCCCTCAATTTAGAATGGTAAGGGGGCTGGAGTCCTGGGAGCTGGAGGACAGCACTCTGGGGTTCAGTGATGACTCACGTTCCTGAAGTAGAGGAAATCTGGCCCAGAGGAAATTGAAATGACCTTATGAGAGAAAAGATCTTCCTAATCCTTTTGGGGCGCGTTACCGAGAAAAAAGAATCCGCAAAGTCGACGGTTCAAGTTCACCAGCCTCTCCTAGGAAACCGCATACAGGGTCACTATGGGTCGGAATCGATTCGAGGCACTTAACAACAAGTGCCTTCTAGGAGTTGACCAGTTTGAGAGTGCTGAGAACATGATTTCGGTAAATAAGTGGGACTCCTGGGAGTTCCCAGCATCTGAATGCAATTGGCAGGGAAAACCCTAGAACCCCACTTCGCTCAGCTAAAGGATTAGGGACCCAAGTCCCTAATCAATGATTGGGGGTAACACTGTGTCTGGTGCCCTCCAGGTAGACTCAGCTATGGAGACCAACTCAGGGGTCCTCTGAAGACAGATGGCGTCAGAGGTTCCCTTGGGAAAGCCATCCGTAGCCAGGAGCAGGACTTTGAGAGACAGGATATCAGTAATCTCTGATGAGACACTGGTAAACTTAGTTGGAAATATGCAAAAGAGACTTTTATGGAAAAGGTAGGTGATTCAACTAGAGAAGGGGATTTGTACTATATATGTATGGCTCATAATCTGGGGTTTCTTCTGAAAGTGGGGAAAGTGACAGGATTACAGAGTTCTGTGGTAAGGGCACAATTTGGGGGGATCCTGGTGTGGCCCTGAAGGATAAACACTGGACTGCTAACCTCAAGAGGTCGACAATTCAAACCCATGGGCTCTCCTCGCATTCCTCAGAGACCCTATGCTGGGTCGTTATGAATTGAACCTATGCTACAGCACTTAACCTAAGAAGAATGAAAGGGCACTTTACTGGAAGAGCTGGTCTCTGGAGTCTGCATAGGATTTAGGGGTCTAGACGTCGGGACTCCGAGGTCCCCTAGCTAAAGGAATCAAGTCAAAACTCTAGGTTGCTCTAATGAGGAGCCTTAAATGGTAGGAACTAGGAGAGGCTGAACTTCAATCAAGATTTCAATATGGGAAGGGGTCTCTGCTGGGGGTCCTGGGAATCCAGCCAGACTTTGGGAGCGTTTCCTAGACTCCAAGGGCATTTCTCCGCCTACTCTTGGCTTGTACTGAATGCAGGTCCCCAGCACAGCTCCCTGAGGACACCCAGATCTGCCCACACCCAGATTGGGCAGCTAGACTGGCACGGCCAACTCAGGTCCCCAAGCTCCAGGCTAAGCGGACAGCTGAGGACATCGGGGTCCCGCCAAGATCAATGCCCCTTCACATGCCCCTCCTTGAGCCTCCTGAGGCCTGGCACCCGCCTGGGCACGGCGCCTGGCACGGGCGCGGGCGCGTTGGGGCTGGGCCTAGGGAATGAAGGAAAGAGGGAGGAAGGGGAGGAGAGAGGGAGTGGCAGCGGGCGGGGCTCAGGCGGGAGATGAGCTCACGCCGGCCCCGGGCTGGGCTGGCTGGGGGCCAGGCTGGGCGAGTTTTCGGCGCCAGGGGCCCCCACTCCCCACTCCAAAAGGCCTGAGGATGGGGGAAGGGAGGTCCCGACCACGGAGAGTACGCCCACCCATGCGCCCTGCTCTTCAATCAACAGGTGAACCTCACCTGAACCCCCAAGATTCCCATCTCCTGGGGTGCCTGGTACTCGTCCTTCTCTGGTCGTCTCTGCCCCCAAGGGGTGCCCCTTCCCCTAGGCCTCTTGTCTGGATTTCTCTTGCGTGTGGGACCCTTGCAATTCAGGATCCTACAGAGACCCCCCTTTCTGGGCCCTTTTCCTCTCAGCTCCGTGGATCAACTTTCCTAATACCAGTTCCTCTTCTCAGTCACTTCAATTCCTCCTCTCCCCGAATATGCAGAAACTGAGATACCCTTCCCCCTTGCAGCTCTAAAACTCTCCCTTGGTCCCAGGGGAACCCTTGCAGTCTCAGAATTCAGCCCCCCTTTCCAAATGCTTCCAAGACCCTCAGTTCTCGTATCTCCACCTGGACTCAGAGGCATGAAAGCCGACCCCATTTCCCTCACGTGGGACGCCTCAGGTCCCTGAGAACTCTCATTGCTTGCAAAAGTCGAGGTCGTCAGGACCAACCTCTACAAACCAGGCATTTGGGGCTCCCTTCGCCAAGAGCCCCAGGGATTCCCCATCATTCCTGGATATGGACTAGACTTCCTCTCCTTGGGGGACTGTCTGCCCCATCCCTGGAGAACCTCCTCCCCCCCGGGACTCCCTCCCCCGGGACCACCTCCCCGCACTCACAGGCGCGGAAGCCGGGTCCCCCCGGGGCCGCCCCACCGGGTGCGCCGCTGTCCACGCTGGTGGCGTTGCGGGGCGCGCAGGTCGGGGTACAGCGGGGGCCAGTGGGCCCATGGACGCAGCGCAGGCCGCATACGGCCGGGGTGAAGCGCACGCGAAGGCGCTCTTGCGGCCGGCCCAGCCCGGGCTTCGGCCAGAGCAGCGCCAGCAGCGCCAATTGCGACACCCAGAGCAGCCGCGCGCCTCCCGCCATGGCTG